AGACTGTCCTTGCAGAATGTCAACTGGTAGACCTCAACAGCCGGTCGTCAAACATGTTCAGGTCAACTCCAAACGTGCGACTGTAGGTATTTCCAACAACACAGACAGCTGATACAGGGTGCAAAACATCAGTTTTGCTTTGACTTTAAAACAGTAGCTGTTCCATTTTATAGAAAATAATTTCTGTTACAATAAATAAATAGAAAGGATGAGGGAGAGGAGAGGCTGCATTCAAATCTATTAAAACGGCTAGACAAGGCACACCCAGTCTTTATGGGATTTCATCCAGCTAAAACACATTTCTGCTACCCCTCCTCTTCCTCGCGGAATACAGGACTACCTATTTCTCACTAACTTGGCTAAAAAGGGATTAAACAAGAAGAAAGTAGAGAAGTTTACTAAAAAACTAAGAAGGGACAAGAATTAAGTGGTAAGTTCCTGAAATGACATGGGTCTTCCCATTCACATGGACGTTCCCACGCAGGTCTTACGTTATCTGTTTCTTCATGTGGTTCAGAAAAAAGCCCCACAAACATCACAATTTATGCACCTCCACAGCATCTGGTACCTGATGAAACACAGCCAAAGTGATGCCTTGCCCCCAAAAGAAAATTCCTTTTAGTTTAACCCTTATTGCTCTTCAATCCCTGCGAACAAGCTCAGTGCTCTGGTAAGATCAGACTGAAAAAGCCAGGATTCAGCATCCCAGCTCCTCCCAGAGGCAAGAAGCACATTCTCAGATGTAGTGTCATTAGCTGCCCACACAAGCTGCAAACCGCGCGCCGTGCCCTCAGCTACAGGGCAGACCTCCTGCACGGAGACAAGACTTTTAATTCTTGAGGACTTTGGCTTTTCTTTCTAGTTCTTTGAAGAAATTTTTCCACTTAGCCATCAAGAACTCAAGTATACTTAATGAAAAAGTTTAATAGTCTGAAGGTGTATCAAATAGCAAAGCACGCCATTACGCGCAAGTTTTCTAAAAAAATGTATTTGAGAAATCAGGCCCTTCAGCAGTGAGGTTTATTTATTAAAACATGTACTAAAAACAGCTGCCAGTTTCTGCAAGGGTACAAACCATAGCACCAGTAAAAGTGGAAGCTGGTATAAGCTGGTGCAGATGAGTATATAAATTTGGTAGTCTTTAAAAAAAAAAAAATGCATCTGTGAAAGTGGCAGACCACGTGAAATGCAAGCTGTTGGCGGCAGCGAACAACAGACGTGCTTTACACATGAGAGGTGTTACTCTCCTACAATAACAAGGCAGCAGATCTAGTGAGCTCTGGAAAGTATGCCGATGCAAAATCACTGTTTAAATCTACTTAGGAACAATGGTACCTTTGGGTGCCTTTCTACAGACAACTATATTTTATAAGGCCATTACGCACATAAAAGAACGTTCTTTTAACATTCATGTTGTTGACTTATCTGATTCCAGAAATGTAAAAATCGCAGACCTTAATTCAAAGCCTAACAAAAATAACACGAGTATGCCCAGAAATGTTTGGCATGGTCTTTATCTGCCCTTTTTGTGTCAGTAGGGAGGTTCAAGCTGGTCAGTCAGCTTGATTTGGAGCACATATCATGAGGAAGACCTGAAATCCTTCTCTGGATCTCTGAAGGATCACAAGTGGGAAGTCAACAGTAAATGTGTCAACAGCAGCTGGCAGGGAGAGCCAGCGTTCATTTTGTCTTCTGTTTCTGAGCACTGGTTGTGACCATGACTATTAGCTGCAATTAGACATTAAATGTTAAAACAAAGTACTGCTAGATGAAGAACACGTGCAAAGGAAACTTCTCCACAAGCAGCAGGAAGCTACAGCTCGAAACACATTAGCTCTGCTTAGTTCTCTAACCAGAAAGACTGCCACTGCCTACATGCATTTCTGCCCCTCCAAACTCACGGCAGCTCTTAGAACACAACACGCAAATTATGGCCGAGCAACACTCATAAGAAGCCACAAACCACAGCCTTTGAAGGATTTTTTTTTTTTTTCCCCTTTGTCCTTCATATTTCAACATCTGATTTTGCAATCAGATTTAAGGCTTTTTTTCCCAACCTTGTCAGAAGCAATTTGAAGTTCGGATTTAACATCTAGAAGCAATTGTGACAAAGACTCTTTAAAATTAGAGCCCAACTAGCTTACACCTTCACTGCTGCAAGCTGTCGCAGGCATAACTTGGTTAATATTTTCAGCCATGTTCCTCCAAACTCCAAAGGGCTTCAACATGAATGAAGATCTGAAGAGGTTGTACCCTGTTGGGGCCATTTCATAACAGCTTTCAACCACCACAGCACAGCTGATCGATACGTGTGCCCCAGCACTGGTTCTATTTGGGTTAGGAAGAAAGGGGAAAGAGGAATGGAATGGAATGAAGGCAGAAAAGAGCAACATTCAATTTTCTTAATTTTTCTTTTCTCTGCCTCCTACTCACAGACCAAAGCAAAAGAAAAGTGAAAGAAAAAACAAAGAGAAACAAAACAAACAAGCTCATAACTTCTTAGAACAGAAGAAACTAGGAACTGCGAGACAGAAGAAAAACCCCATTTTCAATGCAAATCTTCAATTTCACATTCTTCTTTCCCTCTTAGGTTATAAATATTCGTATTTTTCTAAATAAAACCAAGAAAGAAAGAATTAAGTGAGAGCATAAGCACTCCTGGTCCCACTACACCAGCAGACAAAACCAATTACTGTGCTCAAGAGGCAGGTTTCTTGATGGTTTAAAAATAAATTTGCAGCAGCCAAGCGCAACATTTGCTTCCTCGCAAAAGAGGTGACCGAGCTGCTCTTGGCATAACAAAGAGCAATGAAGAGCTAACCTGGGGTTCCCAGTTTTGGTTTTGACAGCAAGGTGATGAGCATAAAGTTACTCCTTTCCTTACAGCTGAGAGGAGAAGCAAGCAAGCTGTCAGCTGCCCGTTGCCCTGCGGCTCACACGCTTAGCTCTGAAAAGAGACAGTAAGAAAGAAGGTTCAGAGTATGGGACCATGCAATGCACAAGCTCTCCAGCAACAGAACTCATGGAAGAAGTTCATGCTCTTGCCTAAAATTCAGTTTCCCCTCTTCCCCACTGCTGATATGGCTGTTAGCAATCCAATATAAAATAACTTCAACATATCACAGCCTAGCCCCACGTACGCGAGCACAGCCGGGGAGGGGCAGGAGGTGAAAAAAGAGAAGCTACCAATAAAACAGACCTAGGGCTGAAAAGGCAAAGTCAATTTTGTATGGTTAAATTAACTGCTAGAAAAGTTGATGTGGAACAATGTTCCCCGAGCAGATACAAACCCAAGCCTGTCCAAATGAGTTGGCCCTCCACCAGCACACACTGCCAACCACCGACAACTCAAAATAGCGGAACCACAAGCCACAATGGTTCCCTGCTTTACACCGGCAGGAGAGCAGGAAAGGTCAACACACTCCCATCCAGCCTGCCCCAGGGAGACGAAAGGACTATCTACACACATGCTGGGTACTGTGTCCTGTTGGAAGCCCGCCTTAATTTTCTTGTGGCTAACCACAGAAGAGGTACCGAGTTTGAAGGCAACGAGCGCTAGATTGAGTTGTTTCAACTAGACAGCTGAAGCTACTCAGGGAAGCACGAGACCTACATGGGAAGGGTTTCCCTCTGCCTCACTCTCTTGTACGCCCAAGTCTGAATTACGAATTTGGATTTCTGAGAAACACAAAAGATCCTTCAATCTAGTGCTGCCCCACAGGCCAAACGCCAACAGCCCTCGCTCCTCTGCCGGCGTTGCGATTCACTCTCCAATGCTGGCAAGCAGCTGCCATGACAGAGTCTCTTTACAAACCAAAAATGACATCTGATGTCACATCAACTGTTGGTCAGGAAACTGCTACCAGATTTGGCTTTCCCGATACTGCATCTTGCAGTAGAACACAAAATAGTTTTTGTGGAAAAAAACCCAATTGTGATTAGACGTAAAACCTCAATTACAAGCAGAAGACTGTTGTGAGCTAATATTATCATGGGAATGCAAGACATTTTCTGTGATTTCCTACATTTAAAGACTCCAAAATATGCAGGCTAGTATGAAATTAAAGGCAAAACACCTTGAAAAGTTTTAGACTATGGTAAATTTCTGACCACTAAAGCCTTTTTCTTTGACAAGTGTAATTGTCTGACAGTTGCAGAAAAAGCTGGCAGTTATGGTAGGTCTCACATGCCTTTTCCTCACTGATGAAGAGCAGGCTAAACTGAGCTCTTAGTTGTAAATACACAAACTTAACACCCACCTTGATGTTAGGCTGTGTTAGGTAACTTTTATCCCACTGTAATACCTACTGTAACCCCTATTGATCAACAGCTCAACATCTAGAGAAGACATTGGAAAAAGAGGGCGCACTGCACGCACAGGATATGCCAGCGTGACTTCTGGTGCCAGCTTCCAGAGCTGAAGAGAAAGCCTAACTAAAGGAGTGGCTTTCTATACAGCCTTCTAGATTTAGAGGTGACAGTAGATAAAAATGAAAATAGAATAAAAAGTAGCCTGGAGCATTCAAGCCACCAGGGTGTGAAGTCTTTTATAGAGCATTAATTCATTCCACAGTTTGACAATGTTTTTAAAGAAAGAAAACCCACCTAGGGCTTGCTGTCCTGCTCAACTGCAGTCAGTGCTCTAAAACCCCTGCAAGATAGTCACTCCTGGGGAAAACAAAACAAAACACCATGCAAAGAAAAAAAAGCCAACTAACTGTCAAGTTTTTATGGCAGGTGTTTTCCAGAGAGTCAAAGATCTTTAGAGTACCCTGCCACCTTCTATTGTCATTTGCAAAATCCTGAGAGCAAGTAAAAAGGAGACACTCAGGGGATGTTGGGAGAGAACAAATGGAAACCCCACCTACTTCTACCAAGGAGTCAGTTCTGCTCCAACGGTGGACACGCAGATTTCCCCCTGGGCCAAGCAGTCGATCCCATATAGAGGATAGTTGTTTTTGTTATTTTTTTTCCCCTGTTTATTTGGGTTTTTTTCCCCACTATGTCCACTGGTGGCATTTAAAGCAGGAGGAAAACATGCATGCAGTCTAGAAGCCTTTAAATTAAATGGAGGCAAAGTATCTCGCCACAGCTCAACCCAACTCCTTCCCAAAACCCCAAGTTTTCACAGAGCGCTAGGTAAGGAAACCCTTAAGAAGGGCTGTAAGGTTAATGGAGACCTTTCGTGAAGAGAATCAAAACAAAGGAAAGACTGTACTGAAGATTACACTCTCTCCTTACAGAGAGATGACTTAGTGCCTTATCACACACTATTCTAAAAATAAATTAAACAAAACAGATTTAAGAATAGCAGCGAGAAGGGTACGTGTATTATGGCCACTCCAAGCCCCAGCATACTGGAAATGCAGATCACTGTTTTACTTTACTTCATGAAAACAAAGGAAAGATGTTCTTCCCAATGCTCTCAGCAGGCTGAGGAAGAAAATAAAACTCTGAACGCTCTCATTTGGTCACTAGAGCAGGAGAAGGGAAGAAGAGAGAGAAGGGCCAGCCAGCTGCTTGATTTCAGCACTGCAATCCTATGACCCTCAACTGCATATTTAATGAGTTGGTGTCCCAGGCAAAGAGGAGAGGGGAGGAAGGCTGGGAGAACTCAGGCCACGGTGCTAATTCCTTTCCTGCACAAAGACAGTCTCTTGAGGACACAGGCCTGCCTCCTGTAACGTGATCTCATAGTCCAGGTGGGAGAGTTTCCTTCGAGGGAAGTTGGTGAGAAGTTCAAAGCGTTCGTTGGGGTATCCTTTTGACTGGACGTGTTTCACAAGAGCCTGGAGAGAGAGAAAGGTTAAGTGCCATGTAATTCAAAACCACACAAAAGAATGTAAACAAAATCCCGTTTTCCTTTAAAAAAGTTTGTAATCACAAAGAAAATTCTGAAATTTAGCATATAGTATAGACCCTCTTTAATATCTAATTTGACCCACACATGGTAAGAACAATCATAAAAACTAATTACCAAGTGATCCCTTACCTGATTCTTTAAACAGAAGACATACATAATAGTACGTTAATTCAAGCAAGCTGAATGCCACATCACACATTCAAATCATGGTAGAATAAGATTTGCAAAAAACCAAATCCTTAAGTGCTCCAAAACAGAAGCCCCCTCACTTATTTATCAGGTATTACCCTTACATTAAACCCAAAAGCCACCAAAGAAGCATTTTTGTCAGGTAACGTTGACAAAACTAATGTAGTATTTTTACTAAATTTTTTTTTCCCTGCCTTCAAGAAGCATGAGGGTTTGGTGGGGTTTTTTTGTTTGTTTGTTTTTAAAGCTCTTTTCAATTCATTAACTTCTCTGCCTACAATAGCAATCAGGGCAGGATACAAAGGGCATTGGGATGAAGGGTTATCAGCCTCACAACCCAACAAGCAGACATATCAAGAAGAGCTAGTGTCCGTGCTACAGTGAGAGAGATTTCCCAAGTTCATCAGGAAACACAGTGGATGAGAGCATAAAGTACAAATAGACAGGGACAGAGAAACCAAGATTGGCAGAACAGTGGGGGATACACCAGCAGAGCAAGACTCAGGCAAAATGAAAAATCGCAGCTTTTTGAGGAGGGGAAAACAGACAATTACTATGTAATAAAACACAAAGTAGGAACAAACAAGGGGGTCCCAACAATAGTTGACATAGTTGGTGGCCAACTTATGCCACTATATTAAGTGCAAGGAGATAAGCTAGCAGTATTAGGCTTCTACTAGTACTAATTATTCCATTAGCTTCCCCTCACTGCCAGTTCAGGACCACAGCAACCCAGCACGCAGAAAAAAGCGGCTGCAAACCAGCGCTTGGCAGTTAGTGCCACAGCTCGGGGCAAGGGGCTCGGGAGATCACTTGGGTGGCTGTTCACTTAGTGTTTCTGTTCTGGTAGGAAAGCTGTTGGTTATATGATGCTGGAATGACACAGGACATGGTCTCCCCCATCAGCCCGCAGCACTGTTCCTCATGTTTCAGGGGCATCAGATGGAGCTCAAGGAGCTGCAGGAAGAGGTCAGCTTGTTCTGCTGCATCAGGGAAGATGAGCAGGAAAGCAGTAGGACGCTGGAACCAACACTGCAAGGGCAAGAACTGAGGCCTTGCAGAACGGATGGAACAGGATGACCAGATGCAAGACACAAACACAGGGAGGACAGTAACTTGCAAGATAAGGCACCCTGGAGACCTATGGCAGCAAAACAGCAGCTCTTCTCTCATTTGGGGAAAAAAAAAATATTGAAAAATGATGTAAAATTGTGGCAATAAATGGGGAGGACAAGTAAGTTCCACTGGAAGACACAACTGGACCCACTGGTCCTACTCAGCAGAGAGCAGCAGTGTATGCTGGTGGGGGGACTCCCACAGGGGACCGAGGCATCAGCTACAGAGCTAACTGAGTCTTGGAAGCCTGCTACTTGCCTAGAGCCAAGATCCAGGATGTCATGGACAGATTGTCAAGACTCATCAACAAAGCTCAAGGCGTGTCTGTGGCACACCCTTGCAACGGCAAAGGGAAACCTGAGCTGCATCCGTAAGAGAATTGCAAGCAGGTCAAGGGATGTGATTATGTTACATACTGTGTTCAATATTCCTCCATGTTCAAAAGGGACAAGGAAAAACTGGAGAGGATCCAGCGGAGGGCCATCAAAATGACTAGAGTATAGGACGTGCCTTGGTACATGAAGAAAGGTTGAAGGATTTGGATTTATTCAGCCTAGAAAGGAAAAGGCTTGGTGGGAATATCATCACAGTATTCCAATATAGAGAGGACAAAGGCATTTCTTTCACAAAGATGCACAAGAGACAACATACACAAGTTGTGCCAGGGGAAATTTCATCTGGATATAAAGAAAGGAATTCTTTACTGTGAGAGAAATTAAACTTCGAGTAAGTTGCCCAGAGAAGTGGTGGAATGTCCCTTGTTGGATGTATTCTAAACTCGGCTTGAGAGGGCCCTGGATAACCTCACCTACAGCCTTGCCTTCTACAGAAGGTCAGACCAGATGATCTCCAGGGATCCTTGTCAACCTGGACTTTTCCAAGACTCGATGACTATAGGACAGTCAGGGAAGTACCTACATGGAGATTTCTTCCGAATTCATCAAAATCCACACACAAATCTTTGGTACGAGGAGACTGTCACTCCAACCTCCTCTTTTAACTGGACTGTTCTCCAACAGGCTTTGCAGGTTACAATGCCTGTGTCTGATGAGGAATGCAAGTAAGCGGGTTTGAATTCTTTTTCAGGCAACAAGGATGATCAAAATTCCTTTACAAACTGTATTTAAAAATTCAGTTAAGTTTACTGGCCGCATCTCCACCCTGCCCTGTTTAAAGGTCGACATTTCCTGCACACCTTACACCACTTGGTAGGCAAAAACTTAGTCAGGCAACCAGTGATGCAGATGAAAGGGCTGAGCTGCTGAACAGAGTGAAGTCAGCTACTTAATTGCACACGATGAGCAATTGCTTCTATAAAAAGGCAGTGTTGCCTTTTTTATTTTTTTTTTGCCTGAGGCCAGGGAAAAGGGTTACAGTAATATTGGAAGCATAAGCACATCCTGGAGATAAAAGTGTGTAAAGAAGCCACTCTTGATCAACAACAATGCAATATTTAAAAAAAAAAAGTCTTAAAAATCAGCCAGTCTCAGTGGGAGACCAACATTGTATCATCAGTTAAAACTTCTAAAGTATAACTGCTGCCTCAAACAATTTCTTTTTATAGTTCTGGACAGCTTTAAAATGGTAGCAACTAAGGGCTGAAAAAAATCAGCATGGAAATGATGCTCACAAAGAAACATCTGAGACTCTATCTTGATGTGACTGGAATGGAAAAGATCACATGACAAGAGTACAAAGGCTGCCTGTTCAGCTCTGCAATAAAAAAAAGGTATCTTTAATCACAAACCTTGACTCACCTAACTTCCTCTGCTCACTGCAGAGCAGGCGGCAGCAAAGAAAAGGAAGTTAATCTCGGCATGTGATTTAACTACTGCAGTCCATAAAAAGAATCAAACCAGAAGTCAGGATTATCAAGAATTTATCAATATCACACCTATGTATCACCTAAATAAATTAAATATTCAAAAGCGCCCCATGTTCCGTAATAGATGTAACCTTATTTAACAGACTGCTTTCAAAAAGCAGTCAAGATAAAGAAGTACTTAGAAAAAGATTAGACACCAATGATTGCCAAGACGAAGGTCTGAAAGTAAAGCCGGTTCCTGCAGTAAGAGTGATGCTCTGCCAGTGCTCCTCAGACTTTATATTTCAGCCCCACGACTCCGCGTGTAGCACTGCAGCAGTCTACAACCTTACGTTTATGCTTGGTTTTGAGAGATGACAGTATAACAGAGGCAACTTTTTTTTTTCCTTTTATTTTCAACCAAAAGAGAGAAAGATGAGAATCTGAGCTTCAGACACTGCATTTCTAGAGTGCTGCAAACTTGGTTATAAGAGATGTGACACTTTTCTTCTAAACCTGCATGAGATCCTTCTGAAGAGGTCTGCTTCTGCCTTCCCTAAGACTTCAATACAGAGCTTTTAGGTTGATTACATTAAAATGAGCTTAACTGGCCACTGTGTCACGAAAACTCACGGCTAACAGGAATATAGTGACCTCTTTACACACTGCTTCCAGATAAGCACCCGCAAAATTTTGATGGAAACACTATCCACATTGAATTCTGCAAGGTAAACAAGCCCAAAGCACAGCTGAGACACACACCTGAAGCACAGTAAGTAAATAATATTGTAAGAAATCTGTTTTGGGAGAACTTCCTCCAAAGCCTGCTCTGTCATCCACATCCAGAAAGGAGTGTGGAAGTTTGGTGAAAGAGATGGAGAAAAAGAATGAAGAGTTTTGCCTTTGATTTTATTGTCTGACCATGGGCAATGGCTGAACTTTTCAATTTAAAATAACCCCAACCAAAACCCACAAATGAGTCAGCTGAGAGTATTTTATGGTAGTTCAGTGATTAGTGCAAAAGCCATTTAGAGTCATTGCAGAAAGGGAACTAGCAGTTTTGGGACTAAGATGACACTGGAGTGTACACGCAACCCAAGCAGCACTGGAAACACAGAGCCAGCAGAGTCTGTCGACTAGAAGAGAGGAACGACATGAAGAAACACAACAGACCGACAGTGCAAGCGCTCCCTGATACACCGCTTTCACTAGATCCGATTTCAATAGTGCCACCACAGGAAAAGAAATTCTCCAGTTTCAGCTCTCCTGTACTCAAACAAGGATTCCAATTAACTCCACTCACCAGAAGTTTAGCTTGTTCAGGCAGTGAAATTTGTTCCCTCTTTCCATCTGGATACCTTAGCATCAGCTGTGCCTTTGGTCCTAGCACAAAGGAAGTTACTACAAGTTAATAAACAAGGTGGCAGCTGAATTGAGCTCTTCTGTAGGTTTTAGGTGGCACGCTTTACCACACAGCACAGCGGGGTCAGGGACTGGCGACAAATACAAGGTTCCAGTCTATGAAGATATACATCCACCACACATGTTTAAAATATATATTGAACTCAGGACTCTTTCAAGAGTTAATAGTAGTGACCGAAACTGGTCAGCGTTCCCAGGGAAAAGCACACTGTGCTACCTGCCTTTGAGACCGCCTCACTTTGCTGCAACCCAGCTCAGGCAGGAGCAGAGACTCCGGGGACTCGTTGGTATTACCCAAAGATGCATTACTAAAACTCAGTCCAACTGTCAAGGCAGCCAAAGTAACTGAGCACGAGGTGGGGCTGACGTTATTCTGCTTCTCTCTACCATACTACTGGTAGAAGCCCCATCACACGCGCATGTACCAATGCGTACTTTATTCGTGGACAAGGTCTCAAACTAAGAAACTTGAGCTCAGCGACCAACATGCCTCTGCAGTTTGTGGCATCACTACGCCGAAGTGGTGCTGCTGGCAAGGTGAATAGCTCAAACATCTGGTGTCAAGGAGGGAGTAAGACAGATGAAAAGATTTAGCTTTTCAAAACAAGGGATGAAACCGTGCTTGTCGGCATATTAAGGTTGTCAGGAAAAAACCCCAAACACAGGTGACTATAAAATAAAATATAAAAAGGTAGCAACTTACCATTCACATCTAGGCCCTGAAACGTACTTTCAGGCTTGTCAGTTGACTCCTCCAGTGTCCCTGCATCAATACAGGGCAGTACTCTGTGATTTGATGTTGTCCCAGGCTCAGTCCTTGCAGGGGGCTCAGGCTGAGGCCTCCGGCTCTCCTCTTTTTTATACCCCAAGTCCTTGTGCGGAGACTTCCTCAACTTGGCAGGATTCTCCGATTCCTCCTCCTCCTCAGATCCGCAAACGGAAATAAACTCTTCGCTTCCAGAAAAAAGCTCCGACTCGGACTCCTCGTCTGACCGACTCTCCTGCTTGGCCTGTGATGAATCAAAATGCGTCTCCTGTAAGGAGGCTCTGATAGCGGCTTCCAACTGGCTGTCCTCACTGGCATCAATGAGACTCTCCTGTTGAATTACATAAAAATTGCTTTTAAATACGTACTGAAAAAATCAACATTAGTCCTCCAAAGAGAAGCTATCAGGACCATCAGGAACAAGCATGGAAAGCTAGTCGTGCTGTGACTACTTAATGACTTTTCCTTGGAGTTTCACACAGAGTGACATATTTTCCTTCCACACACACACAATTCTGTGACTGCTAAACCCAAAACAAATACCAAAAGCACAAAGTGCACAACAAAAATAGTTATTGTGGGAGAAGGCACTCCCTGGAGCATCATATTTTTGCATGCTCTTGCACTAACTCATTAAGTCTGTTTATACTACTGAATGGGAAATCAGTACAGCTGGATAAAGACAGGCCAGCATTTTCTTTCCAGTTTCTCCAGACCTCTTAGAGGACCTCATACTTACTGAACGAGAGCATTTTTGGGGAGGGCTACTAGAATGGCCATCCAGCTGTCCATGCTCACTCAGGAACCCAGTCACTTGGTCCAAGAAAGAAGTCACATCTAGCTGGTGCCACTCCACTAGTTTCTGGCCTAGGGAACAAAAGGTGTCACGAAACATAATTTTGGCAAAAGATTGCAGCTTCACAGTTAAATACACCAATTCACTGCTGGGCATGCACTCTGCAAGAGTCCATACTTGTGGAACTGCAGCTTCCGACAGGCTACCCCGTCATAATTACAAAGCTTCCTCCTTCCATCCCCTTGAAAAGGTTTCAATTGCGTACAGATATAAATACAGACTCTGTTTATTTCTGTTCTTTTCTTTTTAGCTATGGGAAAGCATGCACAGAATAGTGAATTAGGCATCAAAATGAAAAAACTGAGGGGAAAAAAAAAGTAAAACCACTAAGTTTATGAAGAAGCATTTCTACATTATTGTCTGCTTTGATTCTACACCTTGGCAAACAGCATTTGTTTCCATAAGTGCTAAGAAGAGCACCCTGACTTCCGTTTCAACATAAAAAAAAAAATATATATGGTTTTGGGTGGTTAAAGTCAAATAAGCTTCCTAAGAAGCAGGAGACCAGACAGTTAATATAGTGGCATTATAAGATCACAAAAGAAGAAAGGGTGGTGGAATACAAAAGAAAAAGTAACAGTTTCAAAAGAGCTGGAGGGGGACATAGAAGTTTCATTGTTCAGTTAAAAAAAACCCACACAAAAAAAACCAAAATCAAGCAGCAAACCCAAAGCCAAAATGGTATATCAAAATTAAGATGCAATTTAATAAGTGACCTCTGAGCCTCATGAAGTTACTGTGCAAGGAGCAGGAAGCAGATTCATGTAATGCCTACAAATATCGTAGTTTATTCACGACATGATTTCAAGTAGCTTTTAAAAGGAACCTTAAAAAAACCAAAACCATTTCAGAGGTTCACCACCAGGTGGTACTATCTTCACTTGCCAAGCAAAAGACTTGCTAGGCTATTACCAACTATGATCACCAAATACACAAAATTTCAGCAAGCCTTGGGAGTTTTACCACCTTAGTTCCTCCAAAACATATTGCTTTGCTTCTTCAGGGACAGCAAAGTCTCTCGGAGAGCAAAACAATGTAAGTGAGATTCTTCAGGTGAACGTAACACACCCTGCGAAAGATGGTATTCTAGCCTACAACCGCTAGTCCTTCTCACTGGATATATCAACTGCAGGTAACCAACTGTCACCTATCTTACCTGTTCTGGGATCCAGAATGGAGACATAAGGGAAGTCTGCTAATTTATAAAACTGTATGTACCTCTGTCCTTCCTCACTGTCGTGGTATACCTACAAAACACCACATTGGAAGCAAATTACTGGGTGGAGAGGGAACGCAAATGAACTGTATCTTGAAAACGTATAAAGTTTTTCTCTATTTTACAGTATATGTTACAAGCGGTACGTACAGTTCTTGGTAACCCTGACAAGCTGAAAATATGCCACTAATGGTCCATATATTAGAAGCTACGTGGTAACATTTTGAACACATAAGTGAAAGGCTGTTTATGCATTCAAATGCATCTCCATGAACTGTATCTACATCCATAAAGTGCATTTCCATGAACTATTGCATCTTTTCTGCAAGTTCACCAAGAGAATTGCAACAGCGCCATTTTATTCGAAGAAGTCCCCTTCTCCCCCCCCCACTGTCCCACCTAGCAGGACACCACGGCCCCATTAAACTTCTCACCTGCCAAAAAATGAAATGTTCCCGGATTATGTTCTTCACAGCCTCGTTGCTCCAGACATCGCGGTTGAGACACTGACAGGCAAAATCTTGCACGTTCTGAATGTTTATCATGAGCCATTTGTTCTGCATCTGACCACACTCCTTGGCCTGTAAGCAGGGAGAAAAGCTTCGTTAGATAAAACTGAAGAGCCAAACGTAACCAATGCCAGCAGTGATCAGCGATGGCTTCTAACACTGTCAGATTTTTCACCAAAACCCCTTCAACAGTGAGAAAGATGGACAGTGCTAGTGAAAAGGCATCCACAAAACAGAAGGAAGGGCTGAAAGACCTGCTTTAAATGAGACTGGTTGAATTACAGAATCACATCGATGAAAAGAGCTGCTGAATTTCAACAAGCTGAACACAGAGTGGGAAAAGCAACTTGGGCAGGGGGACCACAGGGAGACACTGAATGAAGTATTTGTTCGGGAAAGAGTGCAGTCAATCACACTGATCTGACAACAGAGGAAAGACCTGCTCATTCTACAGATAAACCTGTGGATCATCATCTATTTACGTAGGTTGCATAATTGACAGAGGACTTGCATTAATTCAGGACCCCCTCTCTGTGTGTTTTCTTTTTTCTCTCCAAGTTTTGAGTTACTCTATTACTGTGCAACTGCCGGATTAGGCATCCTTTTTTGATGCTCGTTATTCAGACTGCAAGTGGGGAAGAAGACAGGAAGGCGCAGGAAGAAATCTTACTGGTTTGAGTCACAAAGCTGGCATTGTCTGATTGCTTGGTTGCAAGTTAATGGTAGGAGTTTGATCAAGAATGTAATTCTGATCGCTGAACTGTCATACCTGTTGGAAAAAAGAGGGCTATATCAAAAGAAGGAATGAAAAATTGCCTGGAAAGACCGGAACTAGTATATGAACTCCCTTTCCTTTTAAAAAAGGAAAAAAGTATTTATAAGTGTGTTCACCATCCTGCTGGTAAGGCACTTAACAGCAAATTCAAGGACTTAGGATGTTATGCAAGATTTTGCTGTTTTGGACAATATTTTGTTCCCCAAACCAAAGCTTTTACTTTTAAAACTAATTTAAGCCAGTGCACTTTCGAGTAGTCAGCCTATCAAAAGTGCGATAGACAGACACATGAATCCCACTCGGTCTACAAAATTGATCAGCACAGCCAAGTGACCTGCAGAGCCAATTTTTATTTTACTCAAAGGAAAAAAAAAAATGTAGAAGCATGGAATAGTCCTCCTGTTCTCGCAAGGGACCTCACACTAATTACTTACCACTAATATTACAGTGTCAGAATCCAGTATTTGGTCACCAGGAGAGAAAAGTGGGGCAGTGACACCTAAGTAACTGGTAAGGGTCTTAAATATAGTCATTATGCTTTTATTTAAAAGACTTGTTTTGAGCTAACTGTGGATTTTGAGAAGTAATTCTAGGAAATCAGTTTAAGACGAGGCCTAGAGGTACTGCCCAAGTTTAAAGGGAACAAAAATCCTTGTTATTTGAGTCAATTGGATTGCCTTAGTCCTGTGTCCTAATGTAATCCATACCGGCTTAAAAGAAAAATTCAAAAAAATATAACTAGAAGGATGGAAAGTGCACCTCACTCCTCCACACTTACTTTGCATATTTTTCAATATTAGTGAAAGCCTGGCTCTAGCTCTCCTCCAGCCACTTAAGGTCCTCAAAAGGATGCAAGCAGGAAATTCCACTTAGAACATTTGCAAAGATGAATTTTCATCTGCAGATCAAGTAGACCTTTTGAAACTACTTTTAACTTCCTTCTAAGAACAGCAGGCTTCACATTTAACAAGGACACAGTTCAATTGCTACCGTTTCACGCTCACACAACTCTGCTCTTGCACGGCTACTGGGGTTTTTCTGAGAGTGGAGGTGGGTGGAAGGAGAAGAGTGTGAGGGCAAGAAACGCTATGGGTTTGGAGATTATATTGGTGGGTCGTGTTGGTAAGCGCCAAATGAACAAGGGAAGGCTCGAGAGCTGGCTTGCACATCCCAAAAGCTGTGTCTGATTGCTTTAGACCCACTGTTTCCAACATTCCCCCCATTTCTTCTCCTCCTTTGAGGTACAAAGGCCGGTACCAGGCACTTAAGGAGCACACAGACAGGGTAAGTACAGAACAACCACTCTGCAAGCATCTCTGTTCAAGCTTTCAGCAATCAGCAGAGTAGGAACTTTCAAAGACAGAGGTAGCGAATCTCAGATACAAAGGGCCAGACACAAAACCAAACCAAACCCAAACTGCTCTAAGTTTACCTTTACCCTTTCTATCCATTCACATTTTTCATTACTACAACAACTTACAGCAACGAACCAGCGATCTAGTTAGACAATACATGAAAGAAGCCTTGTTTTACACTCCCTACTGGATCTCACTGGATAACCTCTAACTCTTGCACTACTAAAAATAACACATTTTCCCCTCATTTGACTTTTCTGAACCATGTATGGTTTATAAATGTTGTGGTGGTTCTTCCTTGCTCAGCTTTGGTGAAATGCATCGCTCCTTGAAGTCAGCAGAGAGAAACAAGGAAGTGGAGCCAGTGTCTCGTGACTTTCCGAACATCTGTTAATCAAGCATGATTTGGTTTGGAAGATAAGAGGTAACAGAAAGTCAGAGCACAAGATTATCTAGCAAGAAATATCCTATCTGTGCTACACTTCCACTTCTTGCCTGGGCCAGGGCATACATCCTTTCATCAGTCATTCCTGTGCCAAAGGTGCAGCCGCAGGCTGTCCTTACGCAAACGGCCAGTCTAGAAGCACCTTGTGCAAAGATAATTGCACCAGCTAGAAAAGTTTAACTTATAAAATGATGAAACTTCATCTAGACGGACTTGAAACTCAATTTGGTGTGTACCCACCACAAATTAAAATCCTATCTCACATCATATGCATGAAGAGATGAACACCTGCAATTCCTGAAGACAGTTTCTGAGATTTGAACAAAACCATGTTGTTCTTTACAAAGCACCTTGGGTGTGCATTTTATTTATTTATTTATTATGCTCTATTGATTTATTCCTAGCAGATTCTACATTAAGGAGGTAACTCTGAAGCTTAATACACATTAAAGCTCGATATTACAGTCAGGAAGTGACAGTTAAAAATCGCTTGTGTAATTTTAACCAACTCTGAACAGCCTAATCATATAACCATGCAACACTCCTCAAACACAGACTTTTTAAGCTCCGAAAGTTTCTCTGAAATTTTCTAATAGGAAAAAAAAAAAAAAGGCAGTTCAGGTTAACATCTGGCTCGCACTTTACTCATTTGCCTCTCATTTATATAGCCCCATTCCACCAGGTAACTATCATCTAGTGGCTCAGCCACCATCTTCAAAAGGCTTGTGGGATTAAAAGAAAGTCTTTCACAGATTTTTCTGTATCAAATCTTTTTCACCACATTTCTATGGTGTAATTATGTTATTCACACACTTCACTGTACAAGTACAGTGATCAGAAGTTGTTCTGTACGTGAAGCACACCGCTTTTTCAGAAAGTTAAAAAAGTTAATAGAAGTTAAAAAAAAAAATCAATGTTACTCAACACTTGAAAATTTATCTTCAATGAAAGTTAATTCTCACCTTCTTCTAAGAGCTAGAATTACTGAGTTAAAATGAAACGGCAATTTTTTGCACCTTACTGATAACAATGGTTCTTTGTAATTGAAGAAAAATGAGGTTTCTTGGGGAAAACCAAAGATAACTAAATCTACTAACTCTCAAAATCAACCTTAGCGGACCCAAAAAGGAGCAACAAACGATAAGCAACACAGACACATGAAAACCTTGCTAAGACCAGACACCACCACTCTTGCTAGGATTGAATAAAGTCATAAAACCTAAATAATTCTATGATAAATGTACATGGCACAACACTGACAGAATGTTCTTGCACACTCCTCACGCCAATAGTAATAATAAAAACCCACTTAGATTAACACTAAACTTCAAGAGCATCAAAATGATAGTATTCAGTTGCTGGTACTTTGGAATGTGATAAACATCTCTGATTTATTATATAGTTTACATATGTTTATCTAAGCGTACAGAGAAGGAAGAAGCTAACAGCTGCTTGCTAGAGATGGATTTTGAGAGACTCTGGTCACTGGATTCACAGGAGGCCCGACATTGTCCCAGGCTGACGCAATACATCAGTCTACAGTCATAAAAGATGAAACGGAAGGGGTAATGGTCAACAAATTGAGAAGCTGAAGATTTTTACTGCAATGAAGTTGAGGAGCATTGGTTTGAAGTGAAGGGTATCCCACAGGACAAGAACACAAAAAGGTGAATACCAGAAAGCATACATGTTTTCATATCTGAGTTACAGCAAAGAGCAGGACAAGGTGTGTGCATACGAACCACTCCCCCCTCCTTTTTTTTTTTTTTAATTCACAAGACTGAATAAGAATGCAGAGACTTGAGGACCATCAAATCTATCAATCAGTTATTTCATGCTCTGAAACTACTATGGACTGTGGCGGATGCCACAATCAATGTTGCTAAAGTCTTGATATGTTTTCAGCAAGACAGGAGGAAAGACTGGTACATCTCTAATTCTACAGCAGAGGTCAGAGGGCACTCACTGACGGTATACGTTCCGGTCTGGAGCAGCACTGGCTGTTTTCATGTGAATTCCCTTTACTGTTGCCTTTCATCACGCATTCGCTTGGCTCACAAACATCTCTGAACCATCAGCCCAGTAGGCATCATCAGCTGGAGGACCTGGCACAACCTTGTTTGACGTAAACCCTGAACCCCGTGCCACAAGGCAGGGATGCCTCGGCACCAACTACTTCAGTCTGCTCATCTGCTTCCACCGCACCAAGTTACTCGCTGAGGCAGACACAGCTATTCTCTGTCAACGTCCTTTCAAACCTGGAATTTTGTTAGAAGATTAAACATATCTTCTGGGCACTGTCGGAACGCAGGAATTAGTGGCAAGCCAACTGATCCCTGGTGATTTGGGAAGCATTAAAAACAGGCTGAGAGCTGGAGACTCAATAAAGGCACACGGCATTTCTCCAAAAACTCTGCAGCAGTGCTCTAGTATTTGTGCACAGCAGTAGAGGCAAATGTGAAAAGAATATAAATAATATTTCTGTTCAGCTCATGGAGTCAGATCTCCAGCACTGTTTGCAGCATCTGTATTGCCCTATTTAATCATTAGTTTGCATTCTCATGAAAACATCATGTAATAGTAATCAATCTCAGCTACTTAGAGATGACCAGGTGGAAGTTCCGTAGTAACTGCAACTTCAAAAGAATATCTAGAAATTATGGACTCAAAAAATAAATATAAATACCAATTTGCACAGTCTCTAATCATTAAGTCACTGATCCATATCATAACTTATGACTAGATCCACACATGCCTACACAGACAGAAAAGGTGACACCTGAAATTATTTAAAGCTCCCAGTCCCCTTCTCAGGCAGACTATCTCTTGGATACTTTTTCCATCACTATCAGACACAGAGGACAACTGCTGTGATTTTACAGAAGAGCAAGACTTCTACTGAAGATAAAGTTGCGCCTTCCTGGCAAAGCCACACTCAAATACTGTTACGAGTACTTATCAGAAACGGCTTAGCCATGTTAAAATAACTCCACCTGAGCTTCTCAGCAGGGCTGTGCTGCAAACTATATAGCTCCTTGTGAAGTACGTGCTCACCTATCAAAAACAATCTTACTTCAGCTTCTTCTGTGTCATGCTATACCGAGATACTTCAAGTGATGCAATTTTTCCATTCTGACCAGCCTCCTCTGTGCACTCAAGTCTTTCACCAAGTGCGATTTCCCTCACTGACACTGAAACATAAACAATGCGGTCTATCATCATTAGTTAAGTTCTTAACATTTCCACGCAAAGTCCATCAAATATTTACCACTATACGGTTCTTTGTAGCTTTCTGATCATCCGACAGATAGATCCATACATGCCGTTAGCCTAACACAAGGCTGCTGCACTGTATACAGTCATCACGTAAGGACCTGCACCAAAATTTCAGAGCTTACCGTTTCAAAGCTGCCTTTGTGCATCAGATCAATGGGAGGCCTGAAGAGGTCTGCTAGCGTAGTGAGTTTCTTATCTACTGCCCCTCCATTTCGTAGTTCCTGTTCCTGTCGAACTGCACAGCCCCAAGAGGAAAGGAAGCTGAATTAGACAGAATACTCACAAGATGGATTTATTACTGGCTACGCATTCGTACACTAAATTTTGGCACTAGAGTCACAAAGTTAGACCACACTGAACAAGAGTAGCTGCTAGGTAAGGTAAGAACCCTGTTTGCCCTAGCTGTGATTCTCAAGCACTGGGCCTTTACCTCACTTTTAAAAAACCATCTTAATAAATGCAAGTATCAACAGAGGGGGTCATATGCCAGTATTTGAAAACAAACAAGCCAAAAAAAAAAAAAAAAAAAAAAACCCAAAAAAAAAAAAAAAAAAAAAAAAGCCACAACTTGTCCTCAGTGATGCTTTTAAAAGTGGAAAATGAGCTAGACTATAGCATTGTAACTTTTACTGGGAATATTTCTATTCCAGTGTTTCTATTTCTCGACTGTAAGGCAATCCCATAGGAAAGGAAAAAAAACCCAGACTTAGTTTATATGGAGAAATATCTTTGGATGTTTATATTTAGCATCTCCTCTTCCCACAATCAGCTCAGGATACCGTTGTCTCCAACAGGTGAACGGGTTTCCAGACTGGTTTATCCCCAAGTACCACACTTTGAGCAGGTTCCTTTTATGGTATCAATTTCATTCAAAATAATACAGAACATATTTCCTACATATACATTGTCATATACAATAAAGGTAAATCACAGCAAATGCTTACCCAAAAATGCAGTGATACAACATATTTTATGGAACTAAGGCAGCTGAAATGGGGAATAACTATCCCATGACCAAAAACTTTCCAGTAGTGAATGGGCCACAGGACACAAACCATTTTTGAGCAGATGCTGGATCCTCACAGGGACAAAATCATCCCTGTGGAGTAGGCCTGGGAGCCAGGAAATAACCCTTTCATGGCCAGGGCTGCTTTTTCAGAGAGAGCCAGTGATACTCATCTATGAAATTTTACCAAAAAGCATGATAAAGTTTCATCATAAACCCTCACAATAGTTTTACATATTGTGCCTCTCTAAATGTATTAGAACAAAGTGGAGATGATGGGAAAAAAATTAAGGGTATGATGATTCTGTAAATGGTGTATTTTCATTTACACAGCTGCCAATGACTTTAGTACTCAATGAGTTCATCATTACTGGAAAACCCTGACCAAACCTGTCAGGGGGAAGAAAGTAATCATCAATACTTATTTTCAGTTCAGCAGCCAATGGCACCTAACTACACAGGAACGTGGTCCACGGTTAGACCTCTTAACACTCCAACATGATCAGCAATAATAACTGCACACCAGCTCTAACTCAGCTGTGAAATACCTGGTGTTCTACTGCCAAAGAATCATGTTCTATGAAACTTAATGGCTTAAATAATAGCCAATGCTTTGTTATTTGGAGATTCTGCATATGAACAGATAGACAGTGGTAAACAGCAATTAATTTAATGAGAACCTTGTGTGCAGCCAAGGGAGAAGCCTCAGGGCTACTTGAATCTAATTCAAATGCCAGAATGACCACTGGCTAGCCAAGAAAAATTCAGTGGATGAACTTGATTTCTATATGGGTGTTAGATTCTTCCCCCTTTTCAATTCCCTCTACAGCAGAAAAAAATATGTTTTTGAGAGTTATCAAGAAAATATTTACCATACCAAAGCAGAGAGAATACACTGTCTGCAGGCTTTACTTACGTTACACAAGCAAGTGTTTGGACCAGCATTTTCACTACCTGCTTCATATGTCCATTACTCAGTACTTTCCCTTCAGCCACACCAGAAAAATAAGCTAAAAACCTTAACTGTACCACAACTGCAGAAAAGACATGTCAGCAAACAGTATGGTCACTACAACAATGAACAGCTTAATAATGTTATTTTAAAAAGATATTTTGATATACAGTGGGCTTCAATGACTGAAACCTGTCATAACTTACAACGGAAACTATTTTTCAATCTTACTTGCATTAAAAAAAAAAAAAGAACTTCTCGCTTACTGATCTGTAGACACTTACTGGTTTCTGTTTGAAAATCCCGAAAGCCATCAAATATTGAGCGCGCAGGTCGGCGTCTTTTAGGAGCTTAAAAAAAAATTCAAGAATTACTTCAAAAGTATACTATCAAAAGAATTATACATTAGTACTTTCCATTGCATGTGTGGGAAAACAGAATAGGAACCCAAAGCATTAATGACATGGGAGTAAGGTCATTAGGAAGGGCTGGAGGATGACGGAAATAGGTAGTTTGTAAGACCCATTTCCTAACACATCTCGCCTCCAGCAAACCTCACCCCAGAAACAAACCCTGTATCAACAACACACAAGAGTTTAAAGTCAGCCCTTTCTGATGGGCTCAACAAGGCCCATCAGTATGTAGTGGAAGTGCTGTCACAGCATCAACATGTCATAATTCCAGTCAAGATTTTTACAAAAGGCCTTCAAGTAGATGAAAAACTTCAAAGGATTAAACCACATGAGATAATATTTTTATTTACTAGGAAGCACGTTTGTTTTTTTCCAAAACGCATTTCTACTTTTTGCTAATCTCTTATCCAGATCCTGTCCCAACTTCTTGGCCGGATTGGCAACAGCCACACTCTTCCATTGGATCCAGTATCACCATCCGCAAGGAAACCTTCAGAATAGACAATATGCAGCCACAGCAGCCCAGGCAGATAACTGGAATAGTACCTAAAAGCACCACTGAAGTCCTAAGGTACAGCATAACCACTGAATTTGGGATGCAAACCGAAACTGCCTGCCGAGACTTACTCCAGCTATTTATCTACGTTTCTATTAATTGAAAGCAGAACATTTTTAAGATAGAACTTTCAAAGCCTAATTGTTACAAGACATGATAAGTAATAAACAAATTAAACAGAGTGATATAAATACAACGTATACCCACTGGAAACCTGTAATAAGAAAAATCATCATGAGAAAGCACAACCTCCACACAGATCACAAAACAAGTACCTCCAAAATTTTATTTTAGAGACCTTTATGGTTTTGCACCTATAGTGCATGCAGCATCTTTCATCTTTCACCTTGGCATAAAGACCAAGGACAAAGAATGGTACACAGTTCTTGTTCCTTGCATTCTTCTCATACAGAGTACGAAGAAAAGAATCGGTGTATCCTGTACAGAGTATCACGGAAAAAGAAAGTAAGCCTGAATGAGGAACATGCTTGTGAATAATGCCTAACTCCAGTGAGTAACATCTCTCTCAGCTCTAAATGCTTAGGCATGAGCACAACCCATTAAAGCTAACTTCAGAGCAACTGAAATTGCAGCTAAAAATAGGAACTGAAGGACCACTTCAGCAAAACCAGCATTTCCCTTGCCAGGCTTAACTACAGCCTGGCCGTGCTGGTGAAGACATTCACAGCAGCCCAGGTGGAGGTTTTTCTGATGTCTTCTGTAGCGCGAGATGGGTTCCATGTATCCGGCAAAGCATAAATGGACAGAGTCATCTCTTCATCAGGAACAAAACCCAAGCTCATATGACCACCTCAATATGACACTTAAAACCAGAAACTGGCCCATTCCCTGCTTTGAGGTTAGAGCTGAAAAGACCAAGTGTCTCTCTACTTCCAGCTGGCTTGTCAGGCTGCTTCATGTTATCAACTGAAGTGGCATTTGTGAGCACATTAGCACTGGTGGACGAGACAGCACCAGGAGGCTATTGTCGATCCGCAGGTCGCCTCAGCAGGGCAGTCAGTGACACTGTGTCCGAGATCAGTGTGTGACAGGTGGGTAGAACAGCACCAAGAACTAGGGCGAGCAGATCTTACTCCTGCACTTCTCAGATTCTTGAACCCACAGGAGTCTACAGACCTTTGCTAAAAACTCTGTTGGGCTACAAAGAAAGTCAGAGGAATAAGCTGGAGGGGTGTCTGCAGAGAGCCGTCAGCAGGGTATCTTTGTCTGGAACCATTCCTCAGCTTGTGCATCCTGGCTAAAGACCTCTCTGATGTTGAAAAAAAAAAAAAAAATCAACAGAAAACCAGTTCCAGGGTAAACCTGAAGCTTGGCCTCCTTCTCCGTTCTAGCGCAGGAACTAAACAATAGAAAGGAGCATTTCCTATGAGTGTGATAACTCTTAAAGATAAGCACTTGAATGCCCTTCCTCGATAAAAAGGGCAAGACAATCAATTCACATGCCATGGCAAAAACCATGCAGTCAGCCAGAGACAGCCTGGTCAACATGAGAAAGACAGAGCCTCACAAGGCTGGAGGAAGTATGTGTAAAGAGAGAGCCTTAGATCTCCATACAGACACGATGTAAAAGGAGAGGATGACACACCAGGTAATCCAGTCCTGCTACAGAAGTTCCACCCCTGCGCTGCTGTAAAAGTACCACTAAGGAAAGATGGTTTGAGATTAAGGTTTTGACATCCAGAACATTAGTGTATTACATGAGTACTAAACAGTGTTTTAGACAAGCACCCAAAAGAAAACAGCATTTCCATCACCTACTTCCTTAGAGAAAAAAAATGTTTCAAAAGCAAAAATGACAAACAGCTTCAGAAAACAAAGAAAACTAGCTGCATGGTGCAGTTTAAAGAGCAAGTTAAACTCCTAAATGAGAAATTGAGAAAATGATGAGAAATCATACAGTTCAGCCCTTCTTTCTGATCAATCATCTCCTCGAGAAGCATACATTTATCCTCTTCATTTTCACTCGTCAAAGCTCCAGCTTTTCTCCCACCACCTTGAACCCTTTCACAGCAGCATCACGTTGTTCTGAACCCCCAGAACGCAGACGCATACTCATGATAGCTAATCGGCTGTTGCCTGACAAAGCCTCATGAAACTGGATTTAGCAAATTGGTACCACTGGGAACGTAGCATCTCTAATGCGTGAGGTTTTCAATAACACTGGTGTACTCCTAAGTACGCAATCATGTTACATGGCAGCAGAGTTGCAGCAGGGAAAAAACCTGAGAAAAATACATACAACGCTTTCTTCATATTCAGCAAGTTCTGTTTTTCTTTTGTCGTTTAGTGCATCTCAAGGTAAAGAAAACAAAACAGCAAAATAAGAACACAAGCCTACCTCCAAACAAGGGCTCAGGCTCTACTAAAATTTCTTGTTTTTGAGGAATTGGAGCTCGTACTTCATCCCTATCAAAGAGGAAGGAAAAAAAAATAATCAGAGAGATGATAATATTCCAAGTACTATATAAACCACATCCCATTGTGCTCCAAAGGCTCCTGCAGCTTGAACCAGCTACAGATGCTGCTGTACCATTGCACAGAATCAAGAGATTTGGGGTCAACAGGGTCCTCAAGAGACCATCCATTCCCTCTCACAGCACTGACGCAGGACTTGGTACACTGTGCATTAAAATCTGGCATGGATGACCCTTCTAAGTGTTGACAGAACATTACACAGATCCCTGGGTGACTAGATCCCAGACTTTGTCAATCTACTATTCAAACATCTTTCTTCTTCTTTAATAACTGTCTCAAAACTTGGAAAGTTTCTTAAAACTTAGGAAAGGCTGCTAATTAATCCACTTGCCACCCTCCTCCCTTGATTATCTACATAGAGGAAAAAAAGATTATCTGCCTTATTATAAGCTTTCTTTTGTTAGAAGACTTTTTTGCTTCCACTTGAAATTCACAGCCCTCTCTTTTTCCAGAGGAAGAAAAACAAGATGGTCAAAATGGCCATTGCCCCCCATTTCTGAAGCAATTCCTCGCTTCCATAGCTGGGCTTCCTTGCGTATCAGCAGCTTAGTTACACTTGCAGAGACTGCTATGTAATCTGAAATTATGACTAGGAGAAGAAAGGAAATCACACGGGCTCTGAAACAGTTTCACTTACTGAGTGTGGTCACCTGGCCCATGGATCTCCGCAGAGAGCAGGGCATGGGCTCACCCAAGAACATCCACTGCTATATCCTGCCTACGAACTACTCCTAAAGCGCCCTCTTCCCTCCGACTCTTCGAAGTTGTAAAGTGCGGTTTGCGGCTCTGGGCCATGAAGGTTTCAAAAAGTAACTCATAATGTCAGCAAGATGCACTAACCTTGCTATTAACCTCCACATCTTTGATTGCTGTAGTGAAGCTAGTTATTCTCCATTTTGCATTTGCATAATTATTGTTCTGTCTTCCTAGAAGTAACACTAAGCTGACCAGCACCTGGAGGGTGTCAAGTATAAAAAAGAAAGTATTCCAGTAAAAACTTGAATCTTACGTCACTGATGTGCCAGAAGTTGTCTAGAAGTAACAACTCCTACAGTTGTCTATAGGAGTTGTCTAGAAATATAAACACCTATAGAGTTTTAAGTTCATTACCTGTCAAAGGCTCAAGGAGGAAGGCACTTGATATCAACTATAATGGTTAGTACTACAACAGTTGTTTAAATTTACACATGTGCTTCAGAAGTATGAGTGGTAAGAATTTTCTTTAAAAGTTAGTTGTCTTTTTCCTGAAGACTTTCATAAAGACGAAAGCATAGCTAGGTGTAATTTAGAACATTTAATGAATGTGACTTATACCAATTAGCTTCCACTCAAAATATTCCATTTATCCCAAGCAGTCACATTAACAGGCAGTGCTGAAAGACTCTCTGCCACGCTAAAGTGGAACAACGCTTTCTTTTATTGGCATCTGATGTGCAAGACACTCGTGCAGATTTTGCAGTTGCTTATTCCTCTGCATACTAGTGCATACAATCTAGCCTTTCCAGTGCCAACTCTGGTTACACTTAAAACAACACAATAAAACCCTTACAAATGGGTCTAAGGTCACTACGTTTATAACAACCAACACAACAGAACTCTTGAACTGCCACATTAACGTAATGCAAGATGCCGGAGCAATATAAAGTAAGAATCTTTTACTACTGGATCCCTACTTTAATGTCTTGAGCTCTTTTTGCAAAAACCAGTATGTATAAGTCACAGAAAACTTTTGAAGTACATGTAAGAGAGACTAACTGATGTGGGTCTACGTACCAACTTATGTAACGAGAACTTATTTACCCAGAACAATATCAGAGCAATCAATTTAACAAGATCATCAAAGAAGCACCTATTACAGAGTTGACAGCAAGTTAGAAGTGACAATTGTATTATTTGTTCCGCCTTACACTATTAAATTTTAAGACAGACTACTCATTTATAGAGACGTGTTCATTGGGTACGTACTCAGTGTGCGGTCGAACAGCAGACACCGCTGCAGAACTGGTGCTAGGCTCCTCTGCTATGCCTCCACCATCCAGAAACATGGTGACAGCCATCTCCAGATTGTTGTTGCATGCTTCAAGCATGTGCTTTCCCACGCTCTCACTGGCACCTGTAATGCCAAAGAAAAATTAAAGCGTTCTTCAGATAGCATTTTGATTGGAAGTGCTAGGAACAGCTGGCCGGCAAGCTTTCTCTCTCAAAGCATTAATAGTTAGAAGAACAGTTCATCAGTTGCCATTTATCTCTGAAGTACGACTATGAAATGAGAAAAACACACATATCTCACAAGGGAAGGGAATGCCCATATACAGGACAGCCAGAGTTCTTCCTTCCATCAAAAGAAAATTTAGTGGAAGCCATCTGAGGGCATTTACCATTGGGTTGTTTTTTTTTCCTAGAGTACATTGGTTTTCTTTTTTCCTGGTAGAGTTTTCCAAACGCGTAGGCATGCGCAAAAGAAAAAAAAGAAAGCCTGACTTAACATTTTAACTGGGAGAATATTCTATCAGTTGCTAGAGTTTTTTTTACCCACTTACAACAGATATTTAGAGATGGAAGAAAAGATATCCTGTTTTACTGATTGCACTAAAAGGCATAAAGAAACAAGCAGAAGCTCAGTTCACATAAGAGGGGGAAAAAAGAAAAAGCCAAGAAGGAGAAAGTAGTACTTGTCTACACAGTTATTTGTATAATGACTAACATTTCTTAAAATCTCTCCTAAGTGCAACTAAATCAGTCTTATTCTTGCTGCTCAGGATGAAACACTAGTTCTTAGCATCACTTGTAACTCTTTCCTCAGAGGGTCAACTTCTACCTCCTCAAAAACCATCCCATCGATACAAGCATCCTCATCAGTGCTCTGCTCTAATGCAGAGCATCAGCTCTCCTGCACCCAACCCTTCAAGTGTCTGCTTACTACAGCATCCGTCTCTATAGGTGGTGGGCTGCCAAAGAGTTCATTTTCATATGGAAAGGCTGGCACAGAGGAAGACTGGCAAAATGCAACCGAACCAGTCTGGGAGTAGCTTTTAGATCTGTAGTAATTCTTACCAAGTTCACTGCAAGCCACCAAAATGAAGAAAACACTTTCCCCAGCATCACAATCACAGATAACGTCAGTTTGGGCAAAATACATTTCGATGTTTCTCAGATTTTCTGGGAAAGACTCAAGAAGCTTTAGTTTGAACAGACTAATAAGAGAGAATACACTTTGAAACTCAAGATAAATCAGTCCTAAATGATCCACACCATTGCATTAAATCACAGAGAAAACCAAACTCACCGAGGGAACTGGTTTTCAAAAAAAAACCAAAAAACCCAAAAAACAACCTGCCATGGTAAGTGTACTCAGATGGCAGTCAGCTGTATTTTAAAATCTTAATCGAGATAAAGTTCAAAATAAAAACTAGCGACATCTCAAAAAAATTACGCGAGAGCATCAAGCTCGTGTTCTTCAAACAAACTACTCTTTGGCATTTTCAGCTCATTTCAATGTCAACTGCAGCAATTAAACAATCCTTGTATAGTCTGGAATACGCACACCATCCTGCAACCTCACCATACGGTCATGTGAAGTCATTCATTTAGAAGAACAAGAAGAAAAATGATATTCAACTCTCTGCTATTTAGAGATACCAACACAGAAGGTGCTTGTACTGATTCTTCATCACTCCTGAGGAAACTGCCATCAATACGAATGCTTTCAGTGCTTATGCTGGCAAACAGAAAATACTAAAGATTTGTTAAGTTTCAAAGAGATCCCATCATTTCAATGGTAAAGATACACAGGAGCTACGTTCTCCTAGCAATACTTTGCTAGAGAGCACCAAAGAAACACAATTCTGCCATCTGGCCAAGAGAACTATATCAAGGACTATTTCTCCTCATTCCTCGGTATCACTTACGCTAGAATCAAGTTGCTGGATAGCATTCAATCAGCCTTTTTCCCCACAGACAGGGGTGGTTTTTGTACACTTACAACTCAAAGTTGGAAGCTGCTAATAGAAACCACTGAGGGTGCATGCATCTGAGCACCTGTCAAATCATGCAAGACAAGCTCCGTAACAACACGCTTTTAGATATAACCTTAATTTCTGTTAAAAGAGAAAACCAAAACTTCCAAACTCTACTTTAATAGTGGATGGGTAAAGCCCAGCAGGTTTTGGGTTTTTTTCTTTTTTGAAAGCATAAGAGGGATGCTCTCACATTTAACATAAAAACCATCTGCATAAGCACAAAAAGCTGTGAGGAAGAGCCAACTAGCACGACTCTGCCCATTCTGGTTTGTTTTTTAACAAATATCTCAGGCACTACTGAAAAAGAAGACACAAGACACACGCAGGCACATACTATAATGAAAACATATTTGCTGTAGGCACATTTTATTCAAGAGGGTTTATTCTAAAAGGCTTCTTTAAGGATAGCTGAGCAATTAACGATTTCCCAGTGTACCCTACCGGCACGTTCACTGCGTACTAAACACCCTCAACATCCCTGTTCAGGATCTGAGTGCACCCAAGCCCGAGTACAGGGATACAATCTGAAACCGAGCTGGTTAGAGCTGCCAAATTAAAAGCAGTTTCGCTTATATCAACTAAAAAGCCAAAGATGTTTTATTAAACACTCCTTCAGTACTCGATACGCAATGCCGTAAGCAAGGGGGAACCACAGCGAAGCAGATTAAACGCAAAGTGGGTCAAGCGCTCAAAGTGCACAAGCTAAAGCAGGAATTATCCCCTGCCGCAAACTTCAATTTAAAAGCGACTTGCTACTTTCGTTAGCAAACTGCGTTCTCAGTAAGCCGACTGTGCTTTAAGAGATTTATTTTTATTTGTTTTTAAACGCGGACCCGGGGTTCAGCTCCAGCCTCCCTCCCAGGTGTCAGCTTTATTCGTAGGAGCGGGACGCGGTTCCCGGGCGGAGCAGACCGGACGGCCGGGAGGAAGGGAGGACACGCACCCGCACCACCGAGAAGCTCGGCCGACCGGGGACAACCGAGAGGCGCCT